TTACCAATCACATTCTGCCATGAAACTTACCTATACATTCTCTGGTTTTGATCCATGTGTTTTGACACAGAGCATACAGCATCAGGGTCAAAGAGACCCTCTGTCTCTGCAAGACTTGTAAAAGTAGGGACACTTGTGTGTTTAGGAGAGATGTGGTGTAGGCACCAAGGTACTGTATATGGAAAGAGTCCTCTGTGGTTATGCCTATTATGGCACTGGTCACCTTTATGAGAAGTTGGAGATTTCAACCTCCCTGCCAGTAGCAGCTCTGTTGCTTAATAGCAATTCTGATGTTGACTGCTCCAGATGTATTAAAGGTTCTGAAGCTCTTGTGTTGTCGTTTAAGACTGATACAGATCTTAGTTTACCATGTGGAGGAGTGAAGGCTGAAATCTGGGCTTCCCTTCTGTAACTCTCACCTTCAAACTCTCAGATCTGTGCAAACTGACCAGATGTAACTGTTATTAGTACAAAGTAACCACATAGAATGGATGGTATCATCTTGTTTTTCCTGTTTCTACTATGGGGATATTTGCACAGAAGCCAGAACTCAGTTTTTCTCTATCCTCTAATGTGCTCTGCCAGTACAGCTTAGAGAGAGAGCAACTGCTTAGTAAGAGTGAAGCTCCAGGCTCAATCTCCAGCCCCAGGAGAAATCAAGTGAAAAAATAAAGAGTAAAATAATTCAGAAAAAAATAAAAAATAGATTAATATTTTAAAAGGAGAATATATATTATTTTGAAAGGAAAAATCAGAAAAAAGACATAACATTTGAAACTAAACTAAAATTCAGAAAAACAATGAAAAAAATAGCTGTAAAAAATAGATGAACTTTTAAAAAATACATGGATGTGTATCTGAAAAGTACCAATAAACTCAATGAGAAAAAAAATATACATGAGTGAAAAACTGCTCTTATCCAAGTGACTTAAAAACATTGCTCTCTGTATCTTCTGAAGTTGCTATCTGCCAGGCATAGAATAGAGATTAATAAATTGGATTGCAGCTGTGCTCCTGCAAAGAGAAGCAGTTAACCACAGTGACAGACTCCAGGCCCCAGGGTATGCTGCTTCTCTTGCTTTGTTATTCTTCCTGGTCAATGGTATTCACCAGAGACCACTTTTGCTTTATATGCTGTCAATTTTTAGTGCTCACACACAATTAATCACTTCCAATCACAGTTAATCACCTGCTGTTTAGTTTCCACTTCCTGGGAAACAAAATACTGCTGAGTGTCTATATCCCAATATCTTGATAAAGACTATCTTCTCTATCCTTTATATTTTAAAGAGGAAAATTTATTAACACAGTACTTCCTAAATCCCATGAAAAATCTGGCTCAGTAATTACGAATATATCTCGCAACTAGATATATGACACAATTTCAGTAGCATGGACTGAAAAGAGAAGAATAAGCAAATCTGAGGGCTGAGACCACTGACTGGAGAGGTTTTGTGTATAAAGAAAGTCACTGATAATGATCATCTGGTTGTGAACAGATGACTCAAGAGTCCAGCATCTTTCTGGTCCCATGCCTTGAGTAAAAATGTCAACCACATCCTGCTGACCACACTTTCCACTCAACACAGCAGAGCATCTCTTCATCTGATTCTCTGCGATGGTGATAATTTTGAGTTGAGAGCAGGTTGAAGGAGAACACTCAAATTTCCTGTGGCTTGCCTTTCAATCTCTAGTCTTTGTCAAAAACACTTATGAAGATTAGTATGCTCTGGAGCAGTATCATAATCAGTTTAAATTTGGAATTTAAGTTGTCAGGTACTTAATTTGGAAAATTAAGAATGCATAACATGTTTGATTCCACATTATGCATATTCCAAAACAGAACATTACTTACTCACATTTTCCAAAAAAAAGTTAAATTGATACAATTGACAGAAATTAGGACAGAGAAATGAGAGCCCTTGTTCATTTGCAGTCCTGCCATGAGGAGTTGCTTGACCCTTGATTATGGAAAAATTGTCTCTGAAGGTAAGTGACTGGCCTGGGGACTCTTTCTTCTTATGATGCACACCAGTAGGTGTTAGATGTTAAATACTTCCCCTGGAAGCAGGTACAGTGCTCTGCGTGTGGCTAATGAATGGCCTTTCCCACTCTAATCTTACACTGCCTGCACTGGAAAATTCTCTCAGCTGACCTAGGTTGAAATCAGCCTTCAGAATTTTATTGAGTTTCCATTGTCAAGTTCACCTTAGCATCTTAGAAAAGTACGATGTTTCTGTAAGTTATCTTAGGCATCAGAATACTTCTAAGAGCATGTGTAGTATTTCTATAAATTGTGCATAAGCTCTCAGGGCAAATCTAGACGACTAGCCTTCCCATATACAAAGACATTTATGATACTAAACCCAGCAAGTTGATCGATCTGTATTCTATTGTCCCCTCCTCTGGGTCTGCTTTCTCTCTTCACTTCCGCTCTCACCTTCAAACATCCATTTTTGTACCAATGTAGTCCTGGCCGAAAACATTAGTCAGGACTGCACATTAGTCAGGGCTTGTTATTCCAGCTCTGAGATTTATTAGCTGAGAAAATCAGTTTCTCTGTACCTTGGTTTTCTCAGCTATGAAGGAGGCCAAAACTAATACTGATATTTTGTGGAATTGTGGTGAAGACCAAATGAGTTCACATAAGTACTGTGCCCAGGAATAGTACCTGCCATAACAAATGACTCATAACAGAGTGTGTTGTGTTGTTCTATAATCTTTATTTGGTGCAGTTCTACTGTGTTTGGTACTAAAACCATCAACAAATAATAACATGTTGGACTCCTTCAGGTCAGGGCCTCATTCATTTTATAGAATTAGCATGAAAATAAAATCTATTGTAAAACAGTTATTTAATAAATACCAGCTAAATTACTTTAAGATGTCTCATGGAAAGAGGCTTGGGGCTGGGGATTTAGCTCAGTGGTTGTGCTGCCTGCCTCAAAACCACAAGGTGTCAAGTTTGATTCCCAGTACTAAAAAAGAAAGAAAGAAAGAAAGAAAGAAAGAAAGAAAGAAAGAAAGAAAGAAAGAAAGAAAGAAAGAGACTTGAAATCATTTACATTGCTTTTACTATACCATTTGACAAGTAGTAAAGACTCTATAAGTGATATCATATTATTGAACTAAAGACAGAAATCTTAAGAAAAATGGATAAAGAGGACATTTAAAACAATTATAAGTGTGCCAGTTCCAAGGATTCAAAAGATTTTGAAAGAAAACTTTGTTATTCAGGCTTTACACCCAGGAGTGCTTGGGAAGGAAAACAAAGAGAATGTTGATATGAATTTTGTCACATTTTCTAGATGGAGTTTTAATAATAGAATAACTCGTATTTTGTTCAAAGGTTCAAAGGTACAAAAATTACATGTGGCCTGGGCAGTTAATACAATGCATCCAGCAGACTGGGAATGGTCTCTACCCTCTGAGATATTGCTGGTTCATCAAATCAGTGGCTCACCTGCTTTCTATGTAGCCATTTGTAAAGAAAAATTGATACATTACTGCACCTAAGAATAAAAAGGTTAATAATAAAGGTTTAAAGTTTTTTTTTCTCCCAGGGCTAGAGATGGAGCCCAGAGGCCAGCACATAGAAACACAAGCTGTACCACTGAGCTACAATCCAGGCCACAGTTTCTATCCTTTTTTTATTATTATTGTAAGAATGGAAATGCTTGGGGGTTAATATTTCTTGAAACTTAACAAATCTAGAAAGCCCCTATGAATCTTTGTATGAGAAACAGAAGCTCAGAAAATGTAAACAAATAGACAGAGATCACAAAGGTAAGAGAAGTACAGCCAGAAAAGAAAGCCTAGAGTTTGCTGCCTAATACTTCTATAGTTTTATTGTGCACTTCCTGGTTATCCATAAATGTCTTATTTAAAAGGCTCAATATATATATATATATATATATTTCATACATTTAGTATGAGAAGGTACCATAAAGATTACGTGGTCTGGAAACTTTTGAACTTCTTTAATGGATTCTTTCCAAGATAATTATAAGCTAGGAAAAAGAGAGGTTCTTATGTAATGTACTTAACATTGAAGACTTGGAAAAAATTATATGGAGTCCTGTATTCCTTGAATGCTTGGAAAGCTAATGACCGGATCCACTAATCTTACCGAATGAAACCATCCTTCAAGCACCTGATTGTCACTTTATTTGCTGACAGACAAATGAAAAAGGACCCAAATATATGATATGATTTATCTTACCTTCCATTTCCTTAGGATTGAGGCTAATCTGTTTTTTCCTAGAAAACTTCAAGCAGAGATTCAGACATGAAGATAAAGATAATACAGAAGGACCCCCCCCAATTGATGACTATTCCCTGTCAGATGGGGAGTAAGAATAAAACACTTTATTTTAAAAACAACATTTAATTTGTTAATATTAAAAGAAAGATGCAGGGAAATGGGGAAAAATAAGAATCAAGACATATGATGTAAAGGTACAAATCCCCAATGATGAATGCCATTATATTGTGTACCTAAAATGTACCAATAAAATTGTTCAAAAAAAAAAGATGACTATACTACTCTTCCAATAAATTATTTAACTGTGTTTTTCTTGTTTATACTGTCTTTCCTAAACTTGCTTATTTCACACATGGCTTGGAGGCCATAAAATTAGAAAACTGTGGAAAATCATAGGAAAGGTAAAGCTCCTTCCAGTTCAGAAATTTCATCATGGAAGAAAGGCAAAATAACAACAATAAAGACTGTGATACTTTGATAGGGGATTGGCAGAACCTAGATAATATAAATTATATAATTAGATGATGATGATGATGATGATGATTATCATTTTTTGGTGCAGAAATGTTTTCTTTATCTGAAACTATTCATAGCATCAAAATGCTATGCTTATCTTTTTTTATATAATGGTGCAAAATATTCAACATGTGATGAAAACTCCTAGTCAGTATTACATGTGCGGACTCTAGAATAAAATTTCACATCCCAGGGCAGGAAAAATTCCAGAGTCATGCATTCATCCATCCGCTTCTCCTGTCCTGTGTAATAGTTTTCTCAAGGCTGTCTTTACTTCCTTATTCCTCAAGGTGTAGATCAAAGGGTTCAGCATTGGTCCTACCAGATTCATCAGAATTTGAACCACAGTTCCCAGCATGGGGTTGGGTGTGGGCTGCAGGTACACAGTGATGATGGGAACAGAGGCACAGAGGATGGCGATGAGGTGGGCACTGCAGGTGGAGAAGGCGCGGCGACGGCCCTCGGTTGTACGAATGCGCAAAATGGAGACTGTGATGCGCGTGTAGGATACAATGATTAGGAGAAAGCAGATGAGGGATACTATGCCGACATTTGTGAAGCTCACCTTGTGTGCCAAGGATGTGTCCGCACAGGCCAGTGGCAAGAGTGCAGGGATATCACAGAAGAAGTGATTCACTTCATTGGAACCACAGTATGGCAAAGTAAAGGTGAGCGAGGTCAAGACACTGGAGTGGATGCACCCCAAAAGCCATGTGCCCACAGCCAGGGCCACGCAGATTCTGGAATTCATGATGATCGTGTACCGCAGAGGGTAACAGATGGCAGCAAAGCGGTCATAGGCCATCACGGTGTACAAGAAACACTCAATACTCCCAAGGAAATGGAAGAAGAAGAGCTGGGTGACACAGTTTTGGTAGGAGATGAGCCGGCTCAGCCCTACAAGGTAGAGCAGCATTTTGGGACAGGTCACAGAGGAGAAACTCATGTCAAACACAGCCAAGTTCCCCAGGAAGAAATACATGGGGGTGTGAAGTTGAGTAGAAGCAATAACAGCCACCAGGATAGACAAATTTCCCAAAAGGGTGCAGGCATAGAAAGGCAAGAACAAGAGGAAAAGCATTATCTCCAGCCCCTGTGTGTGAGGGATCCCCAGAAGAATGAATTCGGTTACTAGTGAGTGGTTCTCCACATCCATGAGAGCCAGTCCTTGAAGAAAGAGAAGGCAAAAGTCATGGGAGAATTCCCTGGTTTACTATCACTGAGGGAACATAGTAGAAAAGTGAAATGTAAATGACCATCTCTTGGTTCTAAGTTATAGAAAGACTAACCCAAGTTATAAATGTTATCATTGGAATGGGACTTAATGTGCAACTTAATAATTACTTGAACCAATTTTTTTGTTGTAGTGATTGCATTTGTAGATGTGTCTTATTGCAAAATATTTTTTAAAATGCTACATCAGGGATTTTTAAAAGGTAGAACATGATCCAGAGAAATGCCATTCCTTTGCCACAATAGAGGAATATCAGGTCTCAGAATAATTTAAGAGCTTTTTCATATTGCTGAGAATAAGAATGATAGCTTGACGATTACTATATTTGTGAATCACCACTAATGATAATTATTTTTCAGGGTTTTAAAGTTTGTCAGGTGGAAAGTTCAACAATCATTGCATTACAGTGCAAAACATTTATATGAGAACTAAGTTCACTTAATTCTTGCAATAATAGTTTGTGGTATATCTAGAGAAAATAAAATATTTGAATAATATAAAGGTTAAATTAATAAAGTTAGTAAAGAGCCCAATTAGGTATACAAATCTTTAACACATTAGCCTTTCCACACTACCATATCTGTAATAGATTTTCATATTGCTGATTTTGTTAAACACTGTTAACCATGATTTTTCCTTCAAAATTTAAAATGTTGCTGCTCCTCTTTAGTAAGTCCTGGAATCGGGCTCTCTTTACATCTTTGAAGTACATGCAAATATGCACACACACTCACTGACAAATATAAAATCTAGGAGTATATTGACTCCACCTCTAGAGTAAAGATAGCACCTGGAATAAGACAGATAGATTCTCAGGAAATGGAAAAAAGAATGAAACAAATTAGTTGGAAAGTATTGAATACCACTTACTTGTCTTGTACAAGGACTGTGCAAAACTGTCAAACAGCAATATCCCCAAATATTCTTCTTAAGTACCTTACTCACCTACCTTTCCTCTTTTGCCCTATTCCACTGAATACTTAGAATTTCATTTTTATCTGTGCAATACTTACATGATCAGACTCAAACCAAGAGTTACATTTAGTCTATACATTTTACAACAATGTTTCGGTGTTTAGATCTCACAAAGAGAACTGAACTGATGATATCCAGGTGTAGGTTTATTTACAGTTTCATTTTTTTATATTTATGATTCAAGTCCATAATCCTAATTATAAGGAAAAGTTCAAGAATAGCCCAAAGTTCCTGTTCATCCTGAACTTTAAGAAGATTTGTAAATGACTGAATCTAAAGGCTCCTCGCCAATGGATGCATAAGTCATAAAAGAAGAGTAAAAAGAGAAATGAAGAGCTCATGTATGCAACTTACAGGGAAGAAGTTTGATCGTTTTACTATCTGCTCATCTGTCGTTTTAGGATAATAGTCCAAATTTGCCCTGGAGAGCACATTATAAACCAGAATCAGGACTTTCTCCCTTGATCCTGAAGACTTTTCTTAGCTACATAGACTCATGTTAGTGACACATGTTGAATATGTCTCTCTCTTCTGCATAGATGTCTTCTAAGGCACTAATAGATGTGTTGTTTCCTTTTCAGCAAAATTTTAACATCCCTGGAGCCCTTGAGCTTTCAAGCCTGAGTGGGTCTTATGCAAACAGATTTCTGAGCAAAGGGAGTAATTAGGAATAACTACATGATGGAGCCAAGAGAGAACACTAATCCTCCCTTTTCTAGCATTCCTGTCTGTAAACATGATGGACTCATTCTATATTTTCTCTTTGGGTGTCTCACCCAAGAAAATACTTGAGGGGTACAAGCCAATTTTAGGAAATATGTGGGAACCATTCACTCAGTGTAAATATATATTATTGGGATGAAAAATTACATTATTCTCTTTATACTGAATTTCAAGTACATTAATCTCATTTTCTCCATATTTCTTGTTATGGATTGAGTTTTCTCTCCCACAAATTCATATGTTGAAATCCCAATACCCTGTCCACCATTAGGGTGTATTATTGCTTTAACTTTAAAGAGGTTATTAAAGTTAAACAAGATGGTAAAGATAAGAGCCCCATCCCCTTCTATACAAGGAAAATAAACAACAAATAGAATTTTTTTCTTCATCCCCTCCTTCTCCTTCTCTTGCTCCCTTCTCTTCCTCCTCCTCCTCCTCCTTCTGCTTCTTCATCTTTTTCTTCTTTTCTTCTTCTTCTTCCTTCCACCTCTGTCTCTCATTCTCTCATCTCTTCTCTGAGTGTCTCTTTCCCCTCCTCTTTATATTAAAGTCTAGCACTTCAGTTCAAACAAAATTAAGTAAAAGACTCAAGACTTCTATTTGTAAATATGTTTTAAGTTTTGTAGTAATCAGATACATTGTCTGTATCATCAGGAAAAGAAATAGAATCTGTAATCCCAACACTCAGAAAACTGAGGCAGGAGGATCGCTGTGAGTTTGAGACCAGCCTGGGCTACATAGTGAGTTCCAGGTCAGTCTCAACTACATAGTGAGACCTTGTCTCAAAAAAACAAAACAAAAACAAAAACAGAAAAAGGAAATAAAATTTGGGATAATATTGTCATTAGATATCTTATCATCACTTTGCAATACCAGAATTTGACTTGAACACAATTTCTTAAGTTCAGTATGAGCTGACTTGTATGCTTGTTAGTTTATTTTCTTTATTGATTGTAATCTCAATATCATTTTCTTTTTTAGTCAAATATGAGTATAAATTATAAATGTTGTAAGAATACAAACAAAACTGTAACAGTTAATGTAAGCAGTTACAATATTTTGTGTATTGTCACAAATTGGTGACAAAAATAGGAGCATAAATCCCCAGATGCTTAAATATACATGTTCACTCAAACTATACCCACAGATACTCTCAGGAAGACTAATGTCTCTAGTGTTCAGATAAATTTTTTAAAATCTCAGAATGCTTTCATGTGATCTCTAAGAAAACCAAATGCAGAGACAATTACTTAGAACTCTTGAAGATATTGGCATAGGAAAAGGCTTTATGAACAAAATCTGTCTCACGTGAACTAGCACAAACAATCAATACTTGGGATCTCATCTTGTTAAAAAGCTTTTGCATAACAAGAAAAAACACCAACAGAGTAAAGAAATAACCCACAATATATGGAAAAAAAATTTAACAGCTATACCTCAGCCAAAGGTCTACTATCTAGAGTATATAAAGAACTTAATAAATCAAACCTGCCAAATTTAAAGACACAATCCAAAATGGGCATCTGAAATGAACACACATGTTTCAGTAGAGAAAGTAGAAGCAGCAAATAAATATAGGAAAAAATGTTCAAGAACACTGGCCATTTGAGAGAGGCAGATGGAAATAATGCCAACATATCTCACTCCAGAAAGAATGACTGCTATCAAAAAAATCAACCAAAAAAAATTGCTGGCTGGGCTTTGGGGAAAAAGGAATCCTCCACTCTTGGTGGAAGTGTAGACTGGTGCAACTCCCATGGAAATCAGTGTGGAAATTCCCCTACAAACTGAAACTAGAGGCTCTATTTGACCCAGCTAGTCCCTTCCTTGGTAGCTTCCTGAAATAATTAAAAGTATTGTACCACAGCAATATGTATGCACAACCATGCTTATAGCAGCACTGTTTATAATATCTAGATCTTGAAAACATCCCGAATGCCCATCAACTGGTGACTCGATAAAGAAGGTGTGTTTTTTTTAATAAGATAGAGTACTACTTGGCCATAAGGAATGATAAACTAGAGACATTTATAGCTAAAAGGATGGACCTGGAGACCATACTCTTACGGAAAATAAATAGGACACACATGTTAATACTGAATTGCTTCCTAGTTTTGAGAAACAGAATGTGTAAGTGAGAAGCAAAACATATAATTGATACTGTGAAGTTGGAAGAAAAGTTTTAAAGGGGAAGGGGAGCTAAGTGTGGGGAAAAGGCCAGAAGGGAAAGAAAAAAAATGAGAGAAAAAAGAAAAAACAGAAACAAAGCTTTTGTAAATAGGGGGGTTGGAGAGGTGGAGGAGAGGGAAGGGGAATGGTAAAAAATAAGAATCAAGACATATCATGTACAGGTACAAATTCCCAATGATGAATGTGATCATAATGTATAATAAATGGATCAAAAAAACAGTACTGATAAATGGATAAAAAAATGATAAAGCCTTCCTGGTCATGCTTCCAATGACTAACTTCCTCTAACCATGCTCCACCTTTGAAGAACATATTCAGCTAGGAACCCATCAATGGATCAATCAATTGACCCAGTCAGTGTCCCCATGATACAATCACCTTCTTAAAGCTCCACCTCTGAACACAAGACATTTTTTATTCAAAGCAGAAGAAGCAGTCAATTAAAATATGTAGAAATATACTGAGACCTGAAACCCCTTGATAGAATGTAGATTTCTCAATATGATGCAATCATTGCATTCATTTCTATGCACTAATTTCTCCACATAAGAATTTTCATCAATTGAAGGAACTGTGTTTGTTTACATTAGTCATTTCCAAACTTTCTTCTAGTACCAAATTTATATTCAGTACTTATGAGTTTAGAAGAAGATACAGCTATGATATTTTTAATCTACCATTGCTTCCAAGTATTTAGAAAGAATCCTATATATATTAAAACTGGCAGAGGTCTAAAAGCTACTACATAAAAATATCACTTACAGGGAGACATTTGGCTCAATATTACAAATAGTTAAAAACTATTAGCTATGTTCAGGCTCTTCTGCTAAACCAATCTGGGAGATATAAAGATGAAATTGATTCAAAAGACACATGAAAGCATACAATGGCTATTGTTGGAGAAATCATAATGTAGAAAAGCTTAGAGACATATAAAGACAATGACAAAATCTTGTTCTGAACCAGAGAAGATGACTAGAATCCTTAAATCCTGAAGGCCTAATCCATTTCTATTCAGGTATATCTAAAAGGAC